GGTGGGAGGTGGGGGTTAGGGGTGAGGGGGGGTTCCACTTGTTTTAAGACCCAGACTTGGCCCCGGACTCTCTCCTCGCCGCCCCCACCTCCGGGCCGGGAGGACACCATGTCTAAAGTCATCCAGAAGAAGAACCACTGGACGACTAAAGTGCACGAGAGCGCAGTGAGCAGAGCGGCTCAGGGGGACCTGGCCCTCGGGGTCTCGGGGGGAGCCGAGAAGGGAGAGTTCTCCTACTTGGGCGACGTGAAGAGGGAGAGGGTCTTCTCTCCCAACGTCGGGGAGCTGAGGGCCGGGGAGCTGGTGCTGGAGGTGGACGGGGTCCCGGTGTCCGGGCTGCCCCTGTACGATGTGCAGGGAATCATCAGGAGCGGCGAGGGGGCCATCCGCCTGAGAACTGTCAGACAAGGTAACCAGACCCCCACACAAGCCACAGCCCAGCGACGCTCTGGGCTTCACTGGGATTATTTGCTGCCACTGAACACTCCTCTGGACTGTCTGTCTGTCTGTCTGTCTGTGATTAGCTCCACACATCTCAGAGAGTCTCGTTTTACAACCTCCACACACACACACACACTTAAAGTCTTTATTATGTTAGATGTTTGGATTATTGATCGCTCGTCTTAACCAATTATCTGTGACATAAACCTCTCCCTCCGAATTAGCCAAAGGTACATCAATGCATCGTGAATACAAAATATCTGCTTAAAGAGTTCCCCTCTCCCCCCCTCTCCCCCCCCCTCTTCCCCCCCTCTCCCCCCCCCCTCTTCCCCCCTCTCCCCCCCCCCTCTTCCCCCCCCCCTCTCCCCCCCTCTCTCCCCCCCTCTCCCCTCGCCTCTCTCCCCCCCCCCTCTCCCCCCCCTCTCTCCCCCCCCTCTCCCCCCCCTCTCCCCCCCCTCTCCCCCCCTCTCTCCCCCCCCTCTCCCCCCTCTCCCCCCCTCTCTCCCTCCCCGTTTATCTGACGAAAATAGCAACACAGTGTTTGTGGATGGAGTGTGAGTGAGTTTGGATGAGCTTTGCTGTTTGTATCCAGGAGGTGACCTTACGTCGGTTGGACTGTTGGGAACATGTTTACGCCTCTGTAAAGTGGTACAGATTTATTAAGTTGTGCTTTGAATCGCAGCTCTTGGTGAATGAATACTGTTAGGTGTTTCCTCCACAGGTTTAAGCGTCTGAAGGACTGCAAAGTTGACTAACTGCACCCCCACCCCCCCATCCCACCCAAAGGAGGGGGTGGGAGGAGGAAGAGGGGAGTGGGGGGGGAGGCAAAGGGAACAACTACTTGGAAACATCATTTCAAATAGAACAAATAGTTACTAACTCACCTGTGCAAACATGTTGACCGATCACTTCCATACCTGCATTTATGTTTGTGGGACATTGCTGTGCGCAATTGGCTGCCGCGTTCGCCCACAAATATACAGTCAATTCACTTTACAGTGTGTTCTGTGAAGCGCTTTGGGACGTCCTCCCGACGTGAAAAGCGCTATATCAAATGCAAGAATTATTATTATTATTATGCAATAGAATGCCAGATCCTTCTATTTACACCTTATCACCAGCATTTCTGCAATTGAAGAGTTTTCCTGATCAGTCTTTTTCAGTGGATTTTGTTTTGGTGGTGGGGAGTGGGATGGAAAGTGCAGTGCCACCAAAATTCACCTCGTCTTAACCGTGTTCAGATTCAGGTCTGATTTGTATTCTGTGATTTGTTCTATAACCAGGGAAGAAAATTGAAGTTATGTTAAACTCTAAGCAGAATGTTGTCAGTGATAGAAACTCCTATTTACCTTGAGCCCTTGTTTGCAGGGAGGGATGCTGCAACTGGATGTGTGGAACCAAACAAATCCAGTTAGTTTGTAAGTGCAGGATGTGTCTGGGGTAATGAGTTGGATGGAATGTGTCTGCTGTACTGTACAGGAACTTCTCTCCTTATTGTAAACATAAGATAAGAACATTCCTTTTCTGTGTGCAGTTTAACGAATCACAGAGGTAAGTAAGGCTGTCACGGGACATTGGACCACCAATGCATAACATCTCTGACTGATGTACTGTATGTTTAAAACAAAAACAGAAGTCGCTGGGAACACTCAGCAGGTCAGGCAGCATCTATGGAGAAAGGAAAGTGAGTCAATTTTTCAGGTCCATGACCCTTCGTTAGGTTCTGAGTGTTCCCAGCAACTTCTGTTTTGGTTTCAGATTTCCAGCATCTGCAGTATTTTGAGTACTGTATGTTTAAATTCAGTTGTAGAATAGCTTTGAGAATGGCTTGGGAGTGGGAACCTGTCATTCTGACTGAAGCAGTTGGGTGGTCTGGAGAGACAGATATAGAGACTCTGTTTTAAAGAAAAATGGAGGGCATTTAAACTTGCATTTTAAATAAACAGCTGGGTGAAATGTGTTCAGGTAAAGTGCTGCAAAGCACTGGTACTATCTGAATCTTTTTATGTGTCTGTCTTGAACTCTTAGAAATGTAGCTTTTTACCTGCAAAATACAGACTGCACTTCACAGTAAGTCCTGTGAAGTGCTTTGATGTGACTTCGCCAGGTAAAAGGTGCTATATCAAATGCAAGGAAAATCTTTTAGTATTATTATTACTTCAGCCTGCGTCCTTTATATGTGGAAAAGGTATATTCCCTATTGTTAAACAGGGAGTCATCAATTTGTATCAGGAACAGTGAATTTGATTGTGTGTTTTTCTGGTTTTGGTGTGAAATGTGCTAGTTTCGTGTTTAATAGTACTGTGTTTAATGCCTATTCTTATTTCTTATCAATGGATAACAGGCAACTGAGGCCAAAGAGTTAACTCCAGTGACACTGTGATTTGCTTCCCTGGACATTATAGGCAAATCATAATCTTGTATGTATGTATATGTTCCAATACTGGGCTCATCTCAGTAAAATCATACAATATCACTGAGTATCTTCTTCCTGTTGTGCTCTAAACAAAAAAAATCGCAGTTGTATCCAAAAATTAATATCTAAAGTTCTTTGGGTACTTATCTCTGTTACATTCCCCCTTACCCCACCACTCACAAGCTGTGTGCTTATTGGTTGGTATGATATTTATATATAAAATATTTTAAAAAATCAAATTACATCAAATTGCTTTCCTCCCCTGTGATGGATGAAAGCAATTTGGTTGTTCTTACTTCAGAATCCAGTTATAAAGGGGCTGAATATAATTTATCATGTTGGCATGGATAAATGGAAGCATACTGAAGCATGTTGTTTTAGGGCATAGTTGAATCATAGGTTACTCTGGGCATAGTTGCTGTTTAAACAGAGGTAATGTTACAGATGTAGAATATTCTCAGATTATGTCATCTGAATAAACATGGCTCCTTTGCCATAGATTCAAAGGACATTTCTGAGAAACACATTTTGTAAAACAACTAGTGCTCCATAGCAAACCTCATCCTTTATTTAAAAAGAAGCTGACTGATTTGCTGACCAACATCAGGCAATCTACCTTAATCTGAGTGTGCAGCAGCTGTCTTAATCCTAAACGTCCTCTATCAGGTTGTATGAGGTTCCATCACCTTCAGGGAGAATGTATCTGTTCGTTCATCCTGTCACAGCCAAATGACACACTGTGCTATCCAGGCATATGTGGCTTTCAAACATTTGGCGAATGCTGATTTATTTTTTAGTGATTTTTTTTCCTTAAGTCACTCTAGCTTTTGAACTCTGTGACCAATAGTTGCACTGAAGTTGTTTAACAGAGTAATGTAATGTTCCATTAGTGACAATGGAACCAGTCCATCTATCAGCCGTCAAGAGCAATCTCTGCAAACAAAATCCTTTTTACTATCTCCTGTGACTTGTGTTATTTTAGTAGTTTATAACCACTAAACCTGGCATTCCTCATGGCTTGATAAGAGCATCAAGTGCGCTTGTGAAAAGCCTGTTCTTTTCTCTGAGGCAGAATACATGATCCAGAACATCCATATTGCAGTGGCTAAGAGTGAAGGAAAACTTCTGGAATAGGAAGATAATCCCATAACTTTTCAACATCTATATGCTCCTTCTTGGTGATATCATCTGCAGACATGGGGTCAATTTCCACATATATGTGGATGACACCCAACTCTATCTCTTTGCCTCCATCCTCAACTCCAGGACCACTGCTGTCCTGAAAGAATGCCTGTCAGACATCAAGTCCTCGATGGGAACTAACTTTCTCCAGTTGAATGTCAACAAGACTGAGTCCCTCCTGATTGGCTCCCGTCAGCGCCTCCTCACCTCGGACACTGGCAGCATTACCATCCATCGATGCACACTCCACCTCACCGAGCCAGTCCGAAACATTGGCGTCTTGTTTGATCCTCAACTGTACTTTCTACCCAACATCCATGCCATGACCCGCTCTGCCTTCCCCCACCTCTGCAACATCACCCAACTCCGCCACTGCCTCTCCCTTCAGGCCGCCAAAACCCTCATCAAAAAACAATATATATGTATAATAATATTGGTCACTCAATCCACGACTGTTTGTGTGACACTGCTGTGCACAATTGGCTGCCATGTTTCGCCCACAAAATATACAGTCAATTCACTTTACAGTATTTTCTGTGAAGTGCTTTGAGATGCCTAGAAGACGTGAAAAGCGCTTTATCAAATGCAAGGAGTATTATTATTCATGCATTTATTACCTCTAGGCACAACTATGCTAACTCCTTGCTTGTCAGCTTTCCCAACTCTTCCCTCCACAAGCTGCAGATCATCCAAAACTCTGCAACTCATGTTCTCTCCAGCACCAGGCTCCGTGACTCTCATCACCCCCACACTCACCCAGCTCCACTGGCTCCCCGTCCTCCAGAGGATAGAGTTCAAAATCCTCATCCTCGCCTTCAAGGCCCTCCATGGCCTTGCTCCTTCCTACCTCTGAGACCTGCTAACCCCATATCAACCTTTCTGCTCCCTCCGCTCAGCAGGCCCTGACCTGCTCCGATCCCGCATGCAGCCTGCCCCACCATCGGCGGTCGGGCCTTCAGCCTCTCTTCATCCTTGGAGTGGGAGTAGAGAAACTGATATCCAGCTCTAGGAAGAAGGTATCAGCTTTCTTGTTGTGTCACCTAATAAAGTGCATGTCATGTGCATTAAACTGTAAAACTCAGGAAGACCAGAGGCTGACTCGGTTTCTAATCTCACCGATGGTTGTATAACTAGGAGCGAGTGCTTCAAATTTATGAGTTCTTACATGATAGTAACCAGATGTGTGGACGTGACATCTATTCTCTTCAAATGTCTTCATCCTTCATCAATAACATCACTGTGCAGAAAAATGGGAACTCCAGCTATCATTTTTATGCTAAAGGAGAGACAGCAATATGGGCCAAGGTCTGCTGCTGGAGCCAACACCATGGCATTAATTGGGTAGATTGGTGTGTCCAAATGGTGGTGCT